AACTTGTGAGCAACCAATCCCCTCCATTTCACACCATTGGATTAGTACTACAAAAGCCACACCCTTACATATAGCAAGTTAGAGCAGAAGCTTGGCATTGTAGCAGCAGAAGCACAAGTAGAACTACGAAGGTTAAGGAAATGGCTTCCTCAATGATCTCCTCCCCAGCTGTTACCACTGTTAACCGTGCCGATGCTGGCATGGTGGCTCCATTCACTGGCCTCAAGTCCTTGGCTGGCTTCCCAACCAGGAAGACCAACAATGACATCACCACCATTGCAAACAACGGTGGAAGAGTGCAATGCATGCAGGTAAGACAAGTTATAATATATATACACACACAAGAGGGACCAAAATGATTAAAATTCATGTTGCATCCAAAAGTTTACTTGAATTAACATTTTAGTCATAGGAAAATGTGCTACAACTGCAAGTTTGTTAACCCCTTTACTCAATTTCCATGCAAATTACTAGGTGTGGCCTCCACTTGGCAAGAAGAAGTTCGAGACTCTTTCCTACCTGCCACCCCTCAGTGATGCTGAATTGGGCAAGGAAGTAGACTACCTTCTCAGGAAAGGATGGATTCCTTGCTTGGAATTCGAGTTGGAGGTCAATTTATTGCAAGCCCTTTTACTTCAATTATAGCTTTTTCTACAGTTTATTTCGATACAAGCTTATAAGAGCTTTTGAAAACTTGTGTTAGAAAAAACTCATTATTTTCAATAAAGATGTACTTATGAATCTGTATCTCAACAGACTTTCAGTGTGTTTAATTCAACTTATTTCGAAGAAATAATCACTTTTCTAGCAGGTGTGCTAAAAGTACTTAGCAAAACAAAAGGAAAAATGGTTGTTTTCCAAAATTCAAGTTTATCTCATAGATCTTTTTGGTTCTAATACTCTATGAGAGTTATCAATATTTAACGAAATGCTGTTATACCAAAAGAAGGACTTGGTGTTGAGTTTTGATGGTTGATCTGTTTGTTTGTTTATAGCACGGTTGGGTTTACCGTGAGCACCACAAGTCACCTGGATACTATGATGGACGCTACTGGACCATGTGGAAGCTGCCTATGTTTGGCTGCACAGATTCTTCTCAGGTGTTGAAGGAGGTTCAAGAGGCCAAGAAGGAATACCCCAACTCTTTCATCCGTATCATTGGATTCGACAACGTTCGCCAAGTGCAATGCATCTCTTTCATTGCCTACAAGCCACCAGGCGTCTAAGTATGAAAAATTTGCAAACCATTTGTAGCCGCCCTGCTTTGTTTGTTTGTACTTAAACCAAATTCCCATTTGCTTTTGCTTTTGTTTTTGCTTTTTGAGATTTCATCCTGTAATTTGGCTTTCTGTTTTCGGACTTCACTGGAAATGAATGGATGAGAACTAATGAATAAGCTGTGTCGGTGTTGCATTGTTTCCATATAACTTCAAGAACCCATTTACCTTGCATTTCCCTCCAGTGGGTTGAAACCTTTACTAAATTGGAGTTAACAAAGGAACTCAACCTGTGTTACTTAAGTTCACAGCATAGTTGAGCTTGAACTTTACTTTGTTACACATTTGACCTGTAATTTGGTTTGGTCCTTACAACAGCAAATATGAACCCCATAAATAAGCTAAGATATTTGTGTAGTATACAGCAACGACTACTAAATAACTGCCACCAAACCATTTTGTTAATTATGTGCAAAGGAAGAGATGTCAAATTCAAAGCTTTGATGGTTTCATTTCAGGAACTCTTGTTTCCAAGCAATAACCACCAATTGCCACTAAACCATTTTGTTTGTGCCATTTCTCAATCTACTCACTGCAATTTTCAAATTATAATTTGGATAACAACATAAAAACACAACCAGATTTGGTCATGCTCTGGTTCTACCAAACAGTGCAACTTTTATGCTAGAATTTCCTGAATCTGATTCTTAACTGATAATTAATCTGAAGATGATTCTGTTGCCTATCTTTTGTTTGTAAATAGTTGGTAGTTCTGGATTAGCAATTGATAAATAAATCATTTAGCCGTTCTAAGTTGTGAGTAGTGATAGGTAACTTATATCCAAACCTTTTAGGTTGCGTTAATATTTAGACAGGACCATTTTGATAGCTACATTTGTGAACAAGGTTACTTTAGGATAAAGAAATAGATAAGAAGTTTCACCTCCTTTTCTCCCGTGGACACATCATGACATATTCAAAGTCTATAGTGAATATACAAATTAATAGGATTTTTTTTTTCAAATATTTATTTGTGGATGAGAATTTACTTATTTTGGAAGTAACTTTCGGCAAATTTACTTTGTTAAATAATTTTTTTGTGAATATTAAATTATAATCAATCCAACTGGTAAGTTAGAAATTTTACCAGATAAGTTAGACAAAATTTCATACAAGTTAATGTATGTTTGATTTATAAGTATCACGACTTTCAATGTATTTAAATGGAAAAGTATGTATTTTTGTAGATTGATTCACACCATTTAAGCATTTTGTATGTCTAAACAACTAAAGCATGATGATATAAGTCATTTATGAAACAATTAATACTTGATTAATCATTTGAACCACTAGGACCAATCTATTAGTGGGAGTTAAAATAATATGTATAAAGTCTTAAGTACAAACTTTATTATTGTCTTCCCAATCTTTCTTAGGAGAAAGAAATCAACTTCATTTCAATTGATATTATACATTTTAAAATTAAAGTAAATGTTGACTTTAAGTTAAGCACAGATAATATTACATCATTTAATTGTTAAGTCTTTTAAATTTATATTTTATAAAATAAATATTAAGCATTCAAAACTTATTATTAGAGTCAATAATTTCATTTCAATTTTTTATTTTGCACCAATGTCAAAGCCTTAAATTAATCTAATTTGATCAAGAGGTAAGTAAAGTCTAACTAAAGATTGTTTCCACTAAAGATTGAACTCTAACACTGCTAGAATGATTTAACCTTTAGTTCAGTATATTAATCACTTGTTTCTAACTCTTTGATTCCATTTCATTTATTTGATTGGTCACTATATATCACCTGGCCCTTAAGTAGGGGCTTAGAAAAAAAATTCCCAATATAGTTGGGCTTTTTGACCTCACTAAATTAAAAAAAATTAAAAATACACGAAATAAATTAAAAAAAATTTATTTACTGAAATATGTGATTTTGGACACCTAAGCATACACGTGGCACTGAAAACGCATGGGGGGTGGGCGTTTTTTAGAAAAAGCCTCCCCCCCAGGCGCCTTCTATTGCTAATGTGGCAGGTAGCACAGCTGGAAAAGAAAGAGCAGGGGGGCAGGCATTTTGCACAAAGAGCCTCCCCCCAGGCGCCTTCTATACACGTGACGCGTTTCAACTGAAAGAGCATGGGGGGAGGCGCCATGTGTTCTTCATTTGACACGTGGTAGAGCTCCCCCCATTTTATGTTTAAGTGTTCTCCGAGAGTAAAGGGGCAGATACGTTTTTGTTTGAGAAAACGCTTGTACTCCCGGCGCTCTAAGAAAACGGTTCTACCAGTTGGTTCTGAAAAATTTTATTGGCCCACAAAATTTTTTTTGCACGTTGTTATCAGGTATGATTTTTACTTTATTTATTTTAAATTTAGAAATAAATATTAAAATATAAAATGTTTAGGGCTGATTCGTTAATGGTTTTTGGGTGTGGAACGGCCCTTTCTGAAAACAGAATGGGTCGTTCTGATTGAACAAATTGGTTGTTATTTTGGATCTGGAACGGGCCGTTCTGAAAGTAGAACGGGTCGTTCTGAAAGTAGAACGGGCCATTGTGGGGTCATTCTGGTTGTTTGATTTAGTGAAAAATGGAAGGGATCAGAACGGTCCGTTTTGCTTTCGGAACGGCCCGTTCCAGAACCCAATTTTAGACACGTTTTGTGCAATGAGAACGGCCCGTTCTAGTTTCAGAACGGGTCGTTCTCATTGCAGTCATGAAGGATTTCAATTGAAAATTTTGAATTATTATGAGGGATATTAGGTATTTAGGCATTTATGAAATTTATAATTAATTAGTTGTTTGAGTTTAATATTTAATTTGTTTGTTTGTTTAATTATATCAGGATGTCTATACAGATGATTCATGCAGGACCTATCGATGATTCATTATTAAGGCTTCAACCATTCCATATATCTGAGCATATATGGAATGGAGCTGAAGATAGGGTTTTTAAGGTTAGGAGAGCAACACAATCAGAGTTGCGTGGTGTTGAGATTCCAGCTGCTATTCAGGATCTTCTACAGAGGGATGGTTTTATGGGGATGGCGCATATTAGTTACTTTTCTGTGGACAATCATTTAATTTCTGCGTTAGTTGAGCGATGGAGACCAGAGACCCACATGTTTCACATGCCCTTCGGCGAGTGTACTATCACGTTGGAGGATGTTGCAATGTTACTTGGGTTGAAGATCTCCGGAGCACCCATTACTGGATACGTAACTATGGATTGGGGAGCTCTTGTGCAGCGCCTTCTTGGCATGACACCCCCTGAGTCAATGCTTGCTGGCGGTCGATTGAGGATGAGCTGGATTGACCGACACTTTTCTAATGTTTCTGAGCATATACATAGCCAGGAACAGTTGGAACGCTATACTAGAGCGTTCATTTTACGCATAATCGGGGGATATTTATTAACTAATCACTCTAGCTCGTTTGTATCCCTCAGATACCTGAGTTTCCTAGAAGACCTGGATGTTTGTGGTCAAATGAGTCGGGGATCATGCGTCCTGGCGAATATGTACAGGGAGTTGTGCGTGGCCACGAATTATGATCACAAGGAAATTGGTGGTTTAGGTATTTTACTGCAATTATGGGCATGGTATCGGTTTCCATTTCTTGCACCACCTCATCCACCTTTATCTACATTTCATGTTCCTCTAGGGGCAAGGTTAGTAATAATATTACTTGTGATCGATTTAAGAATAAATATATTTAGAATTAATTTGTATATTGAAGAATTAATGGTTTTTTTATTTTTATAACAGGTGGAATTATGCCTTGCATAAACCTAGAGAGGAAACAAAAGATAAAATTGTGAAGTATAGAGAGTATTTTGACCGTTTAAAAAGAGAGGATGTAAGTTTTAATTTATAATATTATATTGAAGATTTATATTAAAAAATTGTGATTATAAATGATAATTGCTAAGTACTTAATTGTTTTGTTGTTTTGCAGTTTGTATGGCAACCATACTTGGAGTTACTACCTACATTACCTCCTTACTGTTTTGAGGACTCACAAGTATGGAGGTCAACTGTCCCATTGATTAATTTCCACATCGTCGAGTATCATTACGCAGATCGTGTCATGCGACAATTTGGGATGGTCCAACACATTCCTGCGCCTCCTATTCATCCGGAGAAATTGCATGATCTTTCCTTGAGAGGCAAGGATAACACGGACTGGTCACGCATGCACGTTCAATTTGTGCAGGAGTGGCAGTCACGACTTCATCGTGTATGGACACAACCTGCGTGTGATACACCACACTTGAGCAATAGCTCAGAATACATGGTGTGGTATAGGAAACATACAAGGCGATGGATTTCTCCTTCAGTGCAAAGGAAGGATATGTGGTGAGTACAAATCTACGCATGTATTTAAATAATTACTTGTGACATATTTACAAATTTAGTGTTCTGATGATATTTATTATGTTATTCGTAGACCGATGTTCTGGAACACATGTATCATAGCACCAGTGAAGAACATAGGGATTCCTTCGATTTAACAAACACAGCAGCTATGCAACAAATCACATAACAAAACAAACAAAAGACAAATAAGTTCGATGATGAAATATTTTCAATGGCATTCGTATATTTATAGACCCATGAACAGTACATTTGTCTACAAAAGACATCATCTACACCGTTGATTCTGTCGGTGCGATCAGGGCCGTTCGTTTCCCTTGTTACTAGGAGTCAAAACTTCTGACCCATGAACAGTGTTTGTTGCAAATTCGAGATGATCTACACCGTTGATTCTGTCGGTGCGATCACGACCGTTCTTTTGCCCTGTTACTACGAGACAACACTTCTGACCCATGAACAGTGTTTGTTTTAAATTCGAGATGATCTACACCGTTCATTTTGTCGGTGTGATCAGGACCGTTCGTTTCCCATGTTACTAGGAGACAACACTTCTGACCCATGAACAGTGTTTCTTTAAAATTCGAGATGATCTACACTGTTGATTCTGTCGGTGCGATCAGGGTCGTTCGTTTCCCCTGTTATTAGGAGACAAAACTTTTGACCCATGAATAGTGTTTGTTTTAAATTCGAGATGATCTACACTGTTGATTCTGTCGGTGCGATCAGGGTCGTTCGTTTTTCCTGCTACTAGGAGACAACACTTTTGACCCATGAAAAGTGTTTGTTTTAAATTCGAGATGATCTACACCATTGATTCTTTCGGTGCGATTAGGGTCGTTAGTTTTACCTACTTTATGCTTTACATTTTCAATTGTTATTTTTCATTGTAAGGAAAATATTATGACATTTCTTAATCACACACGTAAATATTATTCATACTTCAACACTTTAGTACTACATTCAAATTAAGACAATACTTTTAAACTTCAACAAACACTTAAGTATTGTTTAACAACAACGACAACAACAACATGAACTTAACAAAGTAAACATTGACTGTTTACAAAATAAACAACGATACAAACAACACAGTCCTTTGCAAAAGTAAACATCATAACTTAACAAAGTAAACATTGATTGTTAACGTATACGGTAACCTACATGAAGTTTAGTTGTCTTTCAAATGAATTGACCATGTTCCACATCTGCAATTGTTGAGGCTCCAGATCTTCAAAAGTAACAAAAAAATTCAGTAGTAATTCATTCGGGTCTTCTGCAAATTTGTGAAACATGAATGCCACATCTTCATCACAGGTTAAAGGATATGGAGTATATTGCTTTCCTCCATCTTCGTATTTAACTGGACAACGATAATGAAGTTGACTTATGCGTTTGCTATCCCCTTTGATCAACCTCCTATGTACCTCATTCAACAAATCAACAAGTGTCATGTCTTCGTTAAGTTTGATAACTCTTCCACTAGATGGCATTTGTATGGCATAATCAAGACCGTACTGAGTTTCAAATATCTGAACATTTTGAAACACAAGAGCAAACACTGTTGCTGAACCCATTCTTCGAAATCACTACTACAATATTTCTATCTTAAGTTGAAGAGAAATTGTTTGAACATAAAACACACACACACACACACTTATATTTATAGGTAGATGGAGCCTAACTAAAATAATAAAATAATAAGAAGTTCATAATTTAACAATTTTTTTTCATTACAGAATTAAAAAACAACAACAACAAATACATATTAATAACTGAAGTGCATAATTTTACCAATATTTAATAATAATATTCTCCAAATTTAAATATTACAATCCACAATAAAAATTACATTACAACCATCCGAATTAGCAATAAACCTAAAACTAAATTACAAATATTTTTTCTCATTAAATCAAATATCCTTTGGAATAACCTGCAAAAAATGTAACATACATTTGTTAAACAATATTAGTTACAAAATAAATTATATTTAACTAACACTACTCACCCGTTTTACATTAATTTTAGTTATATTAAGCAAGTAAGGACCACGGAAACGCTTGGGGGCAAACACGACAACCTAAAGAAAAAAAAAACAAATTCAATTCAACAAATAAATAACATATAATTTAATTTTATACAACAAATATTACCTGTTTCAGAATTAACACACACCTCACAACAATGTCTTCTCCATATTGTTGGTGTTGCTTAACTTTGTAATGTAAGCTTGCACCAATCGTTGCAGTTGGGTCCTGAAATAAATATTTACAATTAATTACAAAACAATTTCTTTTAATGTATAACAAATTCACTAACCATACCTTTAAATTAATAGTATAATTTCCCTTTCCAGTTGGGGTCATAGACTCCACAAAAGCAACAACTGTTGGGACTCTTTCTAAATTGTGGTTGATATTAATCAATGTTGTCACTTCAGGTAGACCTATTGTTAAAAAAAATAAACTTAACATTTTTTGCATCATTAAATTTACACACATGAAACTTAATATGCTAAACAAACTTCTAGATTTGACATAATGAACAGCATAGCACCACGGGTTAGAGTTGAACACCAACATCGCAGGTCCGTTAAGATCATACAAAAATTGTTGTGTTGGTAAGGGATTTTCAGATTCCCTGTTCCTCATTGTAGCTTGGACCAAACCAGCTGGTCCAGGAATAACACGGCCAATGTCACGTGTACTAGATGTCTCTTCGTCATTATCATCCCCGAGTTTTGGTGTAGGGGGTGACAACGGAGACAATGGCTCCTGTTCTCTAGCTTCTTCAGCCTGTTTAGCTTCCATTGCACTTCCCATTATTGACAAAAATTACTCATCAGTCAATACTTCATCTGATGGAACAATGTCTTCTTCTTCGTCACTATCAGGTACATAATCTATTCCTCTACGAGAAATTCCTGATAAAATACAAATCAAAATAAATATTCCATTAATATTGTCTCAAATTCTAAAATTTAAAATATTCAGTATAATATCATAATTTCTAACATTACAATAAATACATATATTCAATTATAAAAATCAAATTATATCAATTCAAAAAAATTTAATTGGGCCACTGGAATGGTCCTTTCTAATTTCAGAACGGGTCGTTCTCATTGCAACAAAGGTGTCTGAAATCAGAACGACCCTTCTCAAATAGCTCATAAGAGGTTAATTTTTGTTCCGGAACGGCCTGTTCTAAAAGGAGAACGGGTCGTTCCAGAGCAAAAAATAACAATTCTTCAGTACAATAAGAACGGCTCGTTCTGCTTTCAGAACGCCCGTTCTTATTGTACATAACCCTCCTTTCTTTACAAACCGGAACGGCCCATTCTGAATACGTGCTTTTTCAGAACGGTCCATTCCACGTTTAAAACTTACGTATTCACCTTCCTATTTAAAAAAAAAATTAAATTATTACACCACTCTATTTTACAAAATAAACAACGATACAAACATACAATATATTATAAAAAAAAATTTAAAATTACAACAATTAAAATATATTACTCACTTGCACTATCCTGGACCACCAAATAAAGTATCACCTGGACCACACCGGAAGAAGTGAATTTTGTGAAACTCAATAACACGTTCTACATTTAACTACTTTGAATTTTATAGCGCTTGGGGGAGAGGCGCATTGCAATGTATGAGCACGTACACAGAGACCACCTGGGGGAGGTTTTTTCTTCAAAACGCCTCCCCCTGCTCTTTTTTTACAAACTTGCCACGTGTAATGTACAACAGATGGCGCCTAACCCCCATGCTCTTTCTTTTCAAACTTGCCACAAATAAAAGGCGCCCTGGGGGGAGGCTCTTTCTAAAAAACGCCTCCCCCTGCTCTTTCTTGACCAGTTGCTCTGACCGCCACATCATCAACTAAAGGCGCCTAGGGGGAGGCTTTTTCTAAAAAACGCCCACCCCCATGCGTTTTCAATGCCACGTGTCAGCTTAGGTGTCCAAAATCACCTATTTTAGTAAATAGTTTTTTTTAATTTATTTCATGTATTTTTTTTTTTTAATTTAGTGGGGTCAAAAAGCCATATAGTTGTGCATGAAAAATCAATTTTCAATTAGTGTATTAAAATTTGAAGAGAGCAGGTTGTTAATAACCTTATTTCCTTAGAGTCCTCAATATTTTTCTTACTAAAAATAAAAGTTTTAAAACATCTCATTTGTTTTAGTTTTTCTCTTGCACAAAACTAGGTAATATATTTTTTTAAAGTTTTTCTAATAAGTTCTATAACATATCATATTTAAAGTTATCCAGATTTTTGTAGAGAGAAAATTTTAAAATTGTTATCTTGACAAGATAAGTGTTATATAATTGTAGTGGTTACACTAAATTTTTTTTATAATCATGTTATTAGTACAAAATATCTATCTATTTCACTAATAATTAATATCATCAATAAACTTAACTGATCATATCTAATAGAATCTCTCTTTTTGTCCATAATTTTTCCTACACAAAACTTTAACCTAAGACCTTGTTTTAAAAAATCAATCAATATTACTTATATCAATGTTTTTGTGGTTTATATTAACATTCTGAGTGGCATAGCAAAAAGGTAAACAAAAAACAAGTCATTGTCATAACATATTTGAGGTTGAAGAATAGGTAATGTGATTGGTTGAGGAATAGCTAGCTATAAAAAGATTCTAAACAGATATCAACAAATTTAGTAATTTGTTTTGTTTTTGTTTTTAGTCTGTTGAATTAGAAATCACCAAAAAAAAAAAGGTCTATTTAATTAGATATAGGAATATGTATGTAGATTTTATGTTTTAAGTCCCAAAAATATTTTTTAAAGCAATAAAAAGATATTGCTCATACGAGAAAAGAAATGGCATAGTGAGGTGCTCGAGTCTCTCAATTTTCTTTTGGTGTGTACTAAACAAATAATAAATAATATCTTACGCTAGTGTACTCTTAATTGTATACATTTATCGGACAAAACGTAGATCCTTTGTATCTTTGTCATCAAAACAACGATGTGTGGCTCTTTTATTTTAAATTTTAAATTTCAAAACATTTTCTCAATGGATACTATTTAATTTAATGTATAGAATAACATTCACATGTCATTGTTTTATTTGAGAACGTCATAAATATCTATCTTTGTACCACCGACATGTTGGGCTAATTTTTTTTATTATTATTTGAAATTATTTTAAAGTTAAATTTAATATAAAAACTTTAAAAATAAAGTAAAAACCATTTGATAATATTTTTAACTTAACAGAAATAGTTAAATTAACTTGTTATTGAGATATTTTAGTTTAACTAATAATTTAAAATTTTGAGTATTAAAAGAGTTTAGGGTTTAAAGTTTAGGATTTAGGATTTAATGTAATTACATTAAATATTAGAAGGGAAAACTAAATATTACATGGCATGAGTAGTTAAAGTCCTCATCTCTTAATCATCTCTTAAACATAGAGTGATTTTATCCTTAGTATGTCAATATGGTATAAAAGGGGACTAGTTTGGTCTACTTTGTAAATTTTGGATAATGTTGGTTATATCAAGGAAAAGAAAGAGAATTTTATTCTTCTTAGTTTATAATCAACTCAATTAATATTAACTCCTTGTAAGATATTTGTGAGGTCATAAAAAAACATAAATATCTAAAAACAAAACAAAAACGGACTTAGATTCTCTCATGCATCTAGATACAAATAGTTACACTAACCAATTAATGATTAGGATTTAGTAGGCCAGTGGGTGCTAAGAAACATGATTGGAGAGGATGCAAGTTAAACAACAATAAAGGAAAGTTAGAAAGAGAAGATAAAGTGAGAAAAGAGAAAGAAAATAAAAATAAAAAATTGAGGAGGTTGGAGAGAGAGGAAATGAAAGAGAGAGAAAGAATTTTTTTTTAAAAAAGACTTTTTCATTTATATTTTTTAAAATAAGCTACTTATTTCCCTTTTTATACATAAAAAAAAATAAGTTGATTAGTTTTATAAGCAATTTTTCAACAAAAAAAAATGGTCGTGGCTTCTCTTTTTAAGAAGAGAGGTTAAAAAGAAAAGAAAAAAAATGAGTGAAATACTAACTAAATGTAACAACGCTGTGTACTCAAAAATATCCCATTCTCTTGTGTAAGAGAGAAAACAAACAAAAGAAAGATAAAGAGAAGCAAGGCATAGCCACTAGCATGTGTTGTGGGACCAAAGCAAAACAATACAAGAGGGTCATTATTATTGAGGGGTAAGCAGAAAAGGACTGAACCCTTATTGTTTGGCTCAGCTACACTTCAAAAATGTGGTGCAGATGTGAACAAAGGTGAGAAGTGGAGAAAATGAAAATCAATGAGCTTTTTTTTAATAAAAAAAAAAACAATTAAATCAATGTGCTCTTCTTTGATCAACGTATCAACTTTATGTAACATCTTGATCAACTAATACAAAATGATTCTATCTTAATTGGTAGTCTCAAATTTGAGTTTGATATCTAATTACATTTAGGGATATAATTGGTCGGATTTGGATAAATCCGTTATCGAGTCCAATCAAAATTTAATAAGTTGGATTGGATCGAATTTGTATAATTTTTTTTAAAACCTAATTTAACCCAACTCAATCATGAACAGGTTGGATTGAATTGGGTTAATCAGATCAATATAATTTTTTTTTTATAAAAACTTAAATATTTCAAAATAGATGTAAATCATTTAATACATTGTTACAAATTCAATGTTATCAACCTATAAAAGAAAAATGATACAAATTAAATTTTAAAATAAATTTATTAATTTGTTATATTATTATCAACTCAAAAAATCAACATTATTTAATATAAAATAAAATTTAAAATAAATATATTATATTGTTACAAGCTATCAATCTAAAACACAAAATTTGTTACCAAGTAAGAGTGATAATGAGTATTGTCCTGAACAAATAATTATTTAAATATTATTATTATTATTATTATTATTATTATTATGATTATTATTATATATGACTGGGTCGGTAACGGGTTAAAAACACAAAACCTATTACCCAACCCGTGCAGTGCCAAGTCTTGATTGGGTTGGGTTGAGCCTAACCTAAACACTAAAAAATTCAATGTGAACTCATTGAGTTGGTTTGGGTCGGTTCAAATTCGTGGGTTACCTATACCCACATACACTCCTAATTGCATTAAACATTTAAAAGGAGAATTTTGTTGTTCATACCAATACTACCAATTCAAACAAGATTATCTTTGGAAGATAAAGTCGGATAGAAGTCAAATAATTAATTTCTAGACAAGGGATAATAATTTCATAATACTGAAAATTGAATAATACTTTCCAATGAGAATCATTAGAATCTTACTGCTGGAATGCTACTAGTTAATAGTTATTTTATAAAACCTTGTACAAAAACCAAAAGAGCATACGAAACCTAATTTTAAAAGGCATAAACACCTTGGCAAGACTATCGGCATTCATGGCATACCTCTCCTCTGCAATACTGTCAGCATAGAATATCACAATATTTCCAAACAGAATAGTGCTCAAGTCCCTACAATAATACTAGAGGCAGAAAGATAATGTTGAATGGATTAGGTGTACAAGGGAACAAACTTAATCTCTTTCCATGACCTTGTATTAAAAAAATAAAAATAAATAAAAATATATTTGTAATCCCAAGTTCCCAACAAATATAATTATAAGGATATGTTTGGCTTATCCAATGTTCCCTAATTTTCATTTTCTTGCAGATAGTTTATCACAATTTTTTTACAAATTAGGAAATATGTTCAGTTTGTATATGATGGAAGAATTCATTTCAAACAGCATTCATAGCTATATGTTCCTTCAAGAACTCAACATGGCAATTGATTAGCAATAAATAGCAGATTTCAATTCAAGAAAAGCTTTATCTCATTTCAAACAGACTGAAGAGAAGCAAACCAATCAGCAATTAAGCATGTGATTAACTATTATCTTCATTTCACACATTATTTAGCAGTTTAAGAGAAACCCTAAATCTTTCAAACTATCTCCTCATTAACTATACTATTGACAATGAAAAATTACTAAGCATGGAAGAAAGTAATATCCTGTGAAATTGCAATAGATGATGAAGTATAGACAACAGCTGAGATCAGTAAGTTAAAATATAACAATACTATTTGACTAATTAAAAAAAAAATAAGGTTTTTCACTTTTTCAGCTGTAATTACATTTTTCTTGATAAATGAATTAAGACGGAGAGAAGAAATTTTCAGGGAAATTGAAGATTAAAGGATCCTCCATCCTTCCAAAATAAAAGGGAAAACATCAAGCAAAGGTGCCAAATCCCATCCTAAATTTTTTTAGATGTTTATATGTCTATTGCTTACAAAATATTTAAACAAACATTGCACAAACTGGAAATCAGCCTCACCACATATATATTTAAATCAGTGGTACAAATAATGATACTCATCCTAAAAATTGCTATGCTAAGTGTCAATTGAACTGAACAGAATGCATAGACACCCACTTACACAAAAGAACCAAATAAACAATTGGCAATAAATTCACATTTCATAGTAAGTCTAAGGAATAAAATACACATACTTCAAGTAGGTAGTGGTGACATCTGGATTTGATTATCAAATTCTCCATTTGATAAATCTGAATTTCGGATAGAATCTTTTCTATTGCGCTCCAATGAAGTTGCTTCATGTATTCCTACACAATTCCATTACATTGAGCATTTAAGATTAATTACTAAAAGAAAAACAGAAACAAGAAAGCATTGATTATGTATCATAGCTCACTCTGAAAATATGTACTCAATTCTAGAAGATAGGAAAATGTAGTTGACCAGTAGTGATTTTAAATTTTTGAGACTCCTTAAAAATCAAGTTATTAATATTATGAAAAGGCAATAAAAAACAGTGAAGTCCAATAAACAGAGTTTAGAAACACATTTAACCTTTTTCAAGAAAATGAATGTCATTAAAAAAAATCCAGGGAATGAAACCAATGTATATAGACTCTGAGAAGCCAAGTATCATTAAAAAAAAAGTTTGGGTATGTTTGATTTCCTTTTTACATTTTGGTTTCAATTTTCAAAAACTGTTTTCTAAAATAATTCCATGCTATTCAGCAATCTATTTCTTGTCCAAAATCTATTAAGTTTTGAAAATTGTTTCCAAAAGCTAGGAGATGTTTTCTCATTCTCATTTTCTGTTTTGTAGTCCTGGCTCAAGAATATGGAGCATCAGGAACGGTAATGCATGTGGTGAGGCAGAAGCTGGATATGGGTGATTATTTTCTTTGTTGTTTTTTTAACTAAACCAGTTTTTGAACATAGAAATCAAACAAACCCTTAAACGTTGCTTTTATATGACTTCACTCTTTTCTTTTTGAATGAACTTTGTAAGAAAAACACCTTGAGAAAGCTAACATTTATTAATTTTGTCATTATGTTTCTTAATAGAAAAATATTTTATTAAAGAGAAGAGAAAGATAGAATAAGTACAATGAGGGAATGGATAATGTTTCCTCTAAAAGACTAAAACTAGGAAAAAACAATAGGAGAAAATAGAAAGATAAAAACAAAGAATGCAACAGGTTATCAACAAGTTAGAGATTGAAACACCCTTGAAACAGTCATAGACAGAACATCAAAAAGTGTGCTAAAAACACAGCTATGTCATATGTGACTTATGAGCATTTTGCATCATCAAATAATTTTACTAAAAGTGAGAGAACTAGAAACCAAAAACTATAAAGTAAAACATAGTATATTAGTATTTAATAACTAGTTACTGTAATTAAGTAGTTGTTTTTAACATATTTCCCTGCAAATTAAATTGCAAACCTAGTGAAAAAACTTCGAAAAGGCATGACAAAGAATTATCAGCTACTAGTTCAGTTCTACAAACAATCCATGAAAAATAAAATGTAAATAGAATATTAATATTCAAAACTAACTGCTAAACATACCAAAACCTAATATTAAACAGCAAATCATGAATCCTGTGAGAGAAAAATCCATCTTGTACACAATCTCCATTGTGATGATGCACGCACCAGCTGCTGCTAAATGCCTTGGTGAGGAGAAAACCATGTGCAATCTGCAAAAAAGAAAAGTATGAATTTTAAACTGCTACACAACAACAAATAGTTCCAAATCCCATGCATTATAAATCTTAAACCAAACAGAAGTTACCTGATCAATTTGGATTTAAATAATTAAATTTGACCTAATTTTTACCCAATTTCTTTCAAATACATTAGATGAAGTCGGATAGAAGTCAAATAATTAATTTCTAGACAAGGGATAATAATTTCATAATACTGAAAATTGAATAATACTTTCCAATGAGAATCATTAGAATCTTACTGCTGGAATGCTACTAGTTAATAGTTATTTTATAAAACCTTGTACCAAATTTCAACGATCCAATCGTTGAATTTAAAATTCTTAATATATAGATTAAGTCTGTAAAGTTTTAAAAAATTTAAGAATCATTTGATACTTTACTCGTGTTCTCTTTCCTTTATCACTTCACAAAAAGTACTAATAACATACTTTTTAAAACTCTAATATATACTTTTTTAATACACTCACTCTTATCGATTATAATTTACTCATTGATTATAATTTATTAAAAATTATAAAATCAAAGAAGAAAAAGATACTTATCAAATAGGATGTAGGATTTACCAAATTTTATATATTTTTAATAAATTTCAATTAATAAATAAAGTGTTACAGTGAGTGTTGTTAGAATTTCTCATCAATTCATTTATTACATATAACGATAGATAAATTGATTAAAAAGGTGATAATTTTATTATACATACATGATTACTCAACAATAAATTGTATCGACAATTGTCCATAGCAATGATATATATGGGGATGTGACTCCCTTGTGGGTCTATAAGGCCCACCAGGCTCATCATCCATCAAGGTTTTAAGTTGTTGAGTTTGACACAATTTCATGTACCCGAGAACATGGGCCTGGGGAATAGGGATGCTTTTCTTTTTCATCACCATATATATATATATATATATATATATTTCAAATGGTAACATCGCAGTGTCTCACACATTTATCGGATTTGACATGTCTATATCAACAAACAGTTTTTAATGAAACGTAGTTGTGAAAAAGAAAGAGCTTATTAACACATTTTGGCAACGATATATCCACACCTACATTATTATAGGCCAAAATTGATCTATCTCAAAGAGCTCTCTATTGGATCAAAATTGGTTTCAATCTTTTATTATAAATCTATATACTATTTTACACCTTAATTGTTATATTCAATTTTAGAGATTATTATACCCAATTTTATTTCTTAATTATTCTTTCATAAATTACTTTTTTATTTTATTTTATGTCACAAATCATCCACACCTTTCTATTAATAACCTACAAAATATATAACTACTCAACCGTAAAATGGACTATTGTATATATATATATATATATATATATATATATATGAAAGAGAATTTTAGAATAGTGGATTTAACCCTAACTCAATACACTCCCTCATGCCTATGAGGCATGTATCAATGGTAGGTGACCTATTTTTAAGAATCTAAGATAGCTCTGATACTATCTTAGAATAGTAGATTTGAGTCTAACTCAACCCTACAAAACTGGCTTGTAAGGTGAGAGTTATTTTTCACTTATATACTATTCAATTGCCTAATCTCTAGTCGATGTGAGACTTGAATTTTTTCCCAATACACCTCCTCACGTCCAGCACTATTAGGCTTGGTACGTGGATAAATGATAGATGACTCTTTTTAATGATCTAGAATTGACGGGACTTGAGTTTTTCTCAATATCAAATTATGTGATGAAAGAGAATAATGATTTTTTGTTCTATTGTAAACTTGGAATTTTCAAAACCCAAATTCCAAATTTTACAATGGTTTCTTGTTTTTGGTTCGTGAGTGGATTACTCAAATTTCACTTGACTAAAACTGTTAGATTGTTTTAATAATATGTAGTTGTAATTAAAAGTCAGTAGCATTATTTTAGAAAATTAAGACTACGTTTAGATTGATGTAATAGAATGTTAGAATATAATGGAATGAATGGATTGGAAAGGAATGAAATAAAAAAATAAAAATAAAAATAAAAAATGCACTGTTCAAAAATTTAATTAAGGAAAAAGTTGGGGTTGGATAGGAGAAAATCTAGTTGGGAAAGGTAAAAAAAAAATATTTTCAAAAATAATCACAAGTATTTTAGCTATAAAAATTATAGTAATAAAATAAAAGACAGAAGGAAGAAAACCACTCTAAAAAAATTAAGAATATGGAAACAAAAAGCACAGGAAAAATATCAGGAACTGAATTATAGATCTGGATAATAAGATATAAAAATAATCAAGAGCCTTATGCTGTGTAGTCTTTTTTGCATTAATTAAAGAATTTCCTTTTCTTTTTACACCAAAATTAAAGAATTGTTATTATTCCAATCTTTAAAAATAAAATCCATAGCCTGTGAACCAGATCCGTGTTCATGGTCTCTTGCTACAGTGTAGTCTTTTTTTTGTTCATTGTTAATTAAGATCACATGCTACAGTGCAAGTATAAGTGTGTGTGGATGAGAACTATTTTAAATGAAATTAATTTTAATTAAAGATTTTCAAGTGAAATGGTTTGTGTTTAGAAGTTTTTACTCTAAAAACAAATTTGTTATAAAATTTAGTATAATATTTTTAACCAAACACAATTAATTTATATTTATTACTTTTAGTCAAACCGAAGTTTTAAGGTAAAATCGAATTTACCTAATATTAATCCAATATTTTTATTTTTACCTAAAATGAAATTTGACTCGAGATAAAACCAACTCTTAATAAACTCACTCAATCATGAAAGCCAATAATGATGGATATCTATAAATATTTGAGAGATATAAAATTAATTTTTTATAATTAAAAGTTTCAAAATAAAAAATTATTAGTATAAGTGGTTTGATATATGTGTTTCTTAATTAAAAATTCATGTTTGATCTCTAACTTAGATATGAAATAACAATTATAAGTACCACTTCATCAAAATTTGGCAACTTTTTGAACCACTTATACTAATAATTTTTTATTAATTTACTTGTTTTTTACTTATATATCAAGGATCACTTCTATTGAGATTCATGGATAGTGAATCAAGTTCTGAGAGTTTTGATGATAACAAAAAACATAAGTTAACAAAGGACATGAATAAAAGAGAAAACATGAAGACCATGAATGAATACCAAATGTAATAGGAGTAGTTTATGTGTTCTTATGTGTTGAGTTGTTTTGTTGGTCAATTTTATTTTCTATGCATGTTTGTGCTTTATGCATGAGTTAAATCTTAATTCTAATTGTCTAAAATGATGATGATTAAAAGTAACTTGGAAAGGTTCTAAATGTGTGAAATCGAATTTTGAAAACTAACTCAAAATAATCGATTATTACTAACTAGAATCGATTATTTCAGCTCTGTTTTTCAAGAGGTTGAAGAACCTTGCTGTAATAATCGATTATTTGTAAAATAATCGATTATTCTAGAAAGTGTTCTTTGGAATAATCGATTATCCTACAAAATAATTGATTATTTTGTTTTTGAGTGATTTCTAGAATTAATGAAGAACAAAATAATCGATTATCTAAGTTTGAAAACTTTATAAAAATGGTTCTCACATTCAGAAACTAAGAGAGAAGAGAATAATTGATTTTGTGAAATCTGTGATAAACTTTTGATCTTTGTGATCTTCTTGGAGAGTTTTCTTTGTGAAACCAAGAAGTAAAACACTTTGTGAAATGCTTTGAGAATAATCATCATCATCACTACATTCTTGGAAAGAGGAATTAAGATTGGTCAAGAATTCACAGTCTAATTTGTTCAATTTTCAGGTGAATTCGTTCCTTTAATCTTTTTGTGTATTGTGGTAAAAATCTTGAGTAGGTTTCTCAAGTAGTAAGGAATTTTTGTAATGGGTTTCTACAAGAAGGCTCAAAGCTTTCACATATTATACGAAGGCTCAAAACTCAATAAGGGTGATTTAGTAGCCTAGAACAGGTCGTTCCCAATCTGGAACGGGCCGTTCCAAACCACCAAAATGGCCTATAACCCTAGTTGGGAACGGCTCGTTCCAAATATGGTCGTTGTGTGTTAAAACCCAACTCTAGAATGGGTCGTTCTGGTTTAAGAACGGGCCGTTCCAGATGCGAAGTTAGCACATGATGAAAGGCTCTAGAACGAGTTGTTCCGGATTTGAAACGGGCTGTTCTGGCCACTTCTGAAATCTATAAATAGCAGACTCTGCCACTGCTTTAGGACACACTCTCTAAAGATCAATGAGAACAAAGAGAAGGAGATCAACCAGATTTTTCTCTAGCTTCGTCTTCTGCTTATCCGGGTAAAGGGAGAGTGAGAAACCTCGCTCGGGGGTGTGGGAATAATTGTTGGATAGTAGGATTGACCCCCAATCCCTTGCCTGATACATGCTTATAGGAACAGGCAAAATATGAATGTTTTCTATTTTGTCCTCTGATTGTTCTGTTGTGTTACTTGCTAGATGTAATGTGTGAATTTGTAACTAATTTTGAGAATAAACATGTTTTGATATGAATTAGAGTGCTCTATGGGTTCCTGAGAGAATCCTATGAGAAACAAACAAAATATGAATGTTTTCTGTTTTGCTTTTTGAATGCTCTGTTGCGTTCTTTGTGTGACGTAGAGTGTAAATATGTATTTGATTTCAAAATTAGATATGTTTTGATATAAATTAGAGTGTTTTGTGGGTTCATGTGCGAAATCCTATGAGGAACAATTATGAGTATGACTATGTGAAATATGAACAAATGACATGAGACATGATGTGAATGAGAATGTGTTAGTGTGAACACTATGACTATGAGAATGTGAAATGTCATAAGACATGAAATTTCATGACAAGTGAAGTGATGAGTCCATGAGTTTGTGAATGTGTGATATGCATCATGTGCATATATGAGCTAATAAGGTGTACTTTAGGGTCACCAGTGATGTAACAAGCTAATAAGGTGTACCTTAGGATCACCAGTGATGTAACAAGCTATGATGTATGATTATGAGACACATGACTGGCGCCAC